TATTGCATATTTTTAAGAAGATGTGTTTTTTCTCGAAAAACGACATCTTTTGAGTATTTCGTATTTTTCGACCGGACGGAAGCATTTGCTAAGGCTAAAAAGTAGATTTTCGTGATCAGCAGCTCTCGCTCTATCAAATGATGTAAAAAACGGCAAAAAAAAATTTTTACTCGAAATTCGCACTGCGGGCACCTTACAAAAGCCTTTTACTCGCTATGTGGAGCCTGATGTTTTGAATAGAAAACTTTTCATTTACATAATCGATTGCTTAAAGTCATCTAATTTTATTTTTATCAAAGGGATTCGTTTGATATTAATCATGATAAAATCTTTTTATTTGTAGAATTTTGAACAAATGTGTTTTTTCTTTATTTGAGGATGATGAGATCTTGAGAAGGCGAGCCACGAAAAAGAAAAATGAAAAAAGAAAAGCACAGAGAAACATCTCGTGCTCAAAAACTGACTAACGTGTATGTGTCATACGAATCAATCGTCGCGATTTTTTTTCTTAACAAACGCATTAAGTGCATACAAAAAAAAAAAGAGAAAAATGTTTTATATAGAGTGAACAATAGATATTAGAAGGGCAAAAAGTAAAGAAAACTTATTATCGCAAGAGAAAGAAAAAAAAGAAAACACAAGAGACAAACAAACAAACAAAAAATTGAAAGGGATATGTATGTGAGAAACAAAAATACCTATTGAAGCTTCTTTGTTTTATAAGAAAAGAAAATGTACATTGATCTCATTTTGTTTGATGCTCTTCTAAAGTTTGGGAATGCTTTTTTTTTTGCAAACACTGTTTTATAAACATACATGCAAACGAAAAAAAAGAAAAATATGGCTGCTAGACTATACTTATGTGTATCACAGTCAGACGCTTGTTTTTTGCATTTGTTATATAGGTATTTCTGTCTCTATTTCGAAAAGATTCAAAAGTGATACATAAAATATGTATGCATATACACAGCCATCCTATTATATCATAATCATTCATCAAGCTCGCCTTGACTACTATCATCACCATTCAATTGTTCGTCATCGTCTTCATCAATATCATCATAGTCTTCTGACATGTCATCTTCATCGAATTCATCTGGATTAAAACCAGCAGCACCATGCAATAATTGATGATGTCCAATAGGTGCTGATAAAAAACTATCAAGATCAGTTCCATGTAAACGAAAATCAAAACCAACAGCACCAACTTGAGCCGCCGATGAATTAGGTTCATTAGTAATTCCATAACCGAATTGTTCAGAATACAGAAGACCATCAACAGAATTATCAAATAATGGTTCACCAGTGATCCTAAATAAAAAAATGATACAACTTTTGTGGAAAGTCAAATTAGGATAAAGAGAGCAATAGACATTTTCTTCAAATCTAACTAGAGAAATTCTTCAACTGGATTAATCGTTTTAGATCTCGGACAATGTGCATCATGTAGATCTTAATGAGCTATGAATATCTTGAGAAGAGCTAGAAAATTTAGTTTATTATTGCTGAGATACTGCAATTTTACGGTATTTTTTAGTCGATGTTAAAGTTTCCTTCAGGAGCATAACAAAAATTTATTTTCTCATTTTCGACTTGAAATTTTACACAGATACAAATCTTAACAAGAATAGATTATTATGCAAGTTTCAGAACTATAATGTACTCATTATATGAAATAAAAAACATAAATTCTGTCACTATATATGAGAAGTGTAAAAGATACGAACAATGAATTGATCTGAAACTTTCACAACAACCTATTATCATTAACTTCTATCTTTGTACAAGACTTGTAAGTTGATATTTGAAAATCAGTTTTCTTGACGGAAACCATAGCATTAAGCTAAGGGTACAAGCCCTTTTCAGAGTATTAATAGTAATCAATTGGAGAAACTCCCTCATAAGATAACATAGACGAAGCAATATGTATATATTCAAGATTAAATCTTGATTTATTTTTGTGAAACATGATCTAAGAAGAATGAAGTATAGGTGTTAAAAATTTGAATTCATCCTCTTTTCACACATCATGATAGACATTTATCATAGACTTTCACAAACCATATATCAATAAGATCTTATTCTAATATATGAACTATTTTCTAATTGTATTTTCGAACGATTAAGTAAAACGATAATTGAGAAATGTGTCCCAACATACATCGGATATAACAAAGTTCCTATGATTAGCAAGAGCAACTATATTGTATTTCATATTTTAATCCCTTAGAGATTTCACTAAACATTATTCTTATGATAAAACTTATCAAAATGTCAATCATTCGTTTAAAGTTAAATGAATATGACATTTAATCGACAATGTTCATCATTAAATATATTCAGATGACTTAAACATTCGTCGAATTATTATTAAGATTAGAATATAAAAAAATTCTATCGGTTAAAAATGACATAATTCTTTTTGTTTTTATCTTTTTGAAAACAAAAAACGCTATTTCTATGCCAGATGTTATACTCATAAATAAATATTGTGTAACATTTGTAAAAAAAACTTTCTAATAATTTACCATGGATTTATTAAACATTCAGCAGCTGTTGCACGTTGATTAACGTCAAAGTGAAGCATAGGTTCGAGAAAATGTGTAAATTCAATAGCTTCATATGGTGGCCATTTATATTTCTCAGTTAATACATGATATAAATCCCATGGTTTTAATTGTTTTATATTACGTAATTGTCCTAAATTTAATCAATATATTTAATTTTATATCGAAACAAAAATAAACACATATTACCTCGTCTATTAAAAAATTCTCTCGAATACCGACCTGAATGAGCTATTTCAATAGGTATTGGACCTAATAATTCAATAATATGTGCAATATGATCTTCATCTCGACTATAATCTTCTCCACTATGTGGTTCAAATAAATAATCACCAGTTGCTAATTCAAATGCCATACAAGCAACACTCCATATATCAGCTGATGTATCATAACCAGCTCCAAGTATAACTTCAGGTGAACGATATTGTCGTGTTTGAATATCTTCAGTAAAATGTTGATACTAAAAAACAATCAAAATAAAACATTTTTCTCTTTTTTGAATATTTTTTTTTTAACTTACTGTCCAACAAGCATTGCCTAAATCAGCTATTTTAACTTGAAGAACTTCTTCTGGTACAACTTCAAGAACAGGATTTGGTGTTCGTTCAGCCATTGGTCGAGCTAAAATAATTAGAATAATAATTATCTTTAAATTAAAACAAAATTAAAAAAAAAAAGAAAAGCATACGTCTATCATTTGAAGTAGATTCATTTGAATCTGTTTGTTTATTTGCATCACCTGAAATAGCTGCAGCTGCAGCCATAGCTGCTTGTTCATTAAGTGATTGTTCAGTATTATTATCATGTCCATTACCAGAATTATCAATTGGATTATCTTCATCACTTTCGTCAGGTGAATTTTGTTTATGTCCATTAATATCTTTTTCATTTGTTGGAAGATCAATTTCATCTGTAATTGACATTTTATTTAAATCAATTGTATTTGATGAATTTAAAAGTTTTTGTTTTTGTTTTTCGGCATCCTAAAAATTTTTAAATAAAAAAAAAAAAGAAAATGGATTAAATTTACTTGAATTTGTTGATGTGTTAATTCAAGCATTTTTTGCTTTTGTTTTTCTTTTTTCTTTAATTTTTTCTTCTTATTTTTCGACATTGATTTTAAATCTGGTTTGTTTACAATATGTGTTGTAGCGACTACAAAAAAAAAAGAAAATTAATAAATTATTAAAATAAAAATTTTGACATTTTTATACCAGCTGATCCAACAGGTTTAGCTCCAATTTTATGCCATTCAGCAGCTTGATATGCTAAAGCACGTACATGTTCTTCATCAACACACATAAGAACATTTTCTGGTTTAATCTATAGAAAAAAAAAAACATTTTTTTTTTGTTTTTTATAAATCAAAATAAATAATAATTTGTTCATACATCCGTATGAATAATCTGACATTTTCGATGTAAATAATCAAGACCTTGTAGTACTTGTTTAATAATTAATTTAACATTAGGTATTGGTATACCATGATAATTTGAACGTATTATTAATTTAAGTAAATTATGTCCAAGAACTTCAAATACCATACAAACATGTAAACCATTAATACCAGCAACTTTAAAGTCATCTAATAATTGAACACATTTAAGACGATATGAATCTGATGGATCACTTTCACGAACACTTGTTAATAATTTTATTTCATCTAAAGCTGTTTCAGTATAATGTTTAGCACTTTTA